AGAGTGAGATAAACCCACACAGACTGAACAAAATGCCATAATCTCCTTGCTCTTGTCCTATTCAACGTGATTATCAATGACCTGAAGCCATGAATGGCAAACAAGGTTTGCAACAGAGTAAGCCAACCTGTACATAGCAAGTGAGAACGCGACAGCTAATATCTCTAGCTGTATAATCACTCCTCTCTACCACTTCTCCTCTTCTGCCTAGGTTGACATTTCCCAGAATGTGCTCCACACAACCCTGGAAATGAGACCTGAACATGGTTTTCTAAGTTTACAACATTTGCATTTTCTTCCTTCTCAGTTATCAGCACATCAAAGACTCTGAGAAGTATGATAATAAATAAACTTCTGTCTTGGTGTAACTTAATGTTGTTTTCCCAAATGTATGCTCATGAAAGACTTTTACATAGTAATGACAGTAATCATTAACTGAGGATAGCCAAAAGTTAGGTCCTAAACCAATTATTATTGCCTCATCAACTCTGCTTCCTCTGACTATCAAAATTAGGAAAAACAAAGCAAAAACACTAAAAAGTTCAACTTGGCACTCCCTGACTCCTGTTCCCTCATCCCCTCCCCAGTCTTCAACACTCAAACTCTGGCCTCAGCAACTAGTGCTCCACTGAAGGCCTTCTCATGATGTGAACCACAACAGCACAACTGCCAGAACTGTGGCTTCTCTTTGGCTCCTCAATCCCTCTGCAAAGTCACATAGGAATAGTCACTTTTTTTTCTTTTGGTGGTACTAAGGTTTGAACTCAGGGCCTCACTATTGCTAGCAGGTTCTCTGCCACTTGAGCCACACCCTTTGCCCTAATAGTTACATTTCTTGACACTTCCCTTAGCTTCAGAGTGCTTCATTCCTCCCCCCCTTTTTTTTTTTTTGACAACTGATCTTCTCTAGTTCCTCATTCCTCTTTCTTTTCTTTTTTTTTTTCCCTTGGGAAAAAAACATAATAATTTAGTAAATACATTCAAATGCCTACAAAGCATCAGGTCCTGTTGCAGACAGTAGAGAGGTAGAGATCTGAACAACCCAAACTCCTGTCGTGACATTTACATTCTAGTTGGCTAGAAGTGGAGGAAAAAAAACATGGCTTTGGATTCTTCTTCATGCATTGTAAACGTACTCCAGCTTGTCATGATTTTCTTAAAATGTGACATTACAAAGTCCTCATTCCTCTTTCTAATCCTTAAATTCTCAGATCAACTCCTACTTCATGGATCCACAATTCTAGTCTCTTTCACTTCAGACCCGTATTTCCAATGGGCTTTCATCTGGTGCTTGTTAATTCTCCCCAAGGACTACATATTCAATAAATTCCAACCAAACTCATCAATTTCCCCACCAAACTTTTTCCTCTTCCTGTCTTGATTCTTGTTAATGGAATCACCATTCAGGGAGAGAAGGAGGGGAAGGGTAGAGAGCAGAGTTAGTTGTTTCCTCCTCAGTATGCACACAGCATGAGTGTGAATATGAATTTGCCTCTGTTAAAGTACCTACCACAGTGGATACTTAACTACAAAACTCTTCACCAGCTCCATCACTCAGCTGTGCTAAGACCCAGCAGAAATTCAACACACTTGGAAAAATGGGTGAATCTTTTCAATTAACATTATTCAAAACTTTTAAATCATACCCAACTCATGACTCATTATTCAAACTCCAAAAACATACCGAGTTCCTCGTGTCTCCATAAAAGCTCTTGATTCTTTCCTTCATCAGATTTAAATGAAACCCCAAGCCTACACTCCAGGTGTCTTCTAACTGGAGCATTAAGTCCACTTTCCTCCTGCCTCCAATTACTACAGATGCTAAAGAACTTTTTCAAAAATGCTACTAGAACCACATTGCTCCCTGGCTCACAAACCAATGGATTCTCTCTATTTCCAGAACACAACACAACCCTTAACAATGTTAGCACTGCCTTCTGGGTTTGGATCTCTGCTATCTTTCCATCTTTATCTCCTACTACTCCCTATGTTCTAATTCAAGGGTTGACACACTTCAGCCAGTAGGTCAAATCTAGCCAGCTGCCTGTTTTTGTAAATAAACTTTTGTCAGAACATGGCCATGCTCATTCAGTTATGTATTTTATTTATTTATGGGACTGGGGTTTCAACTCAGGGCTTCACACTTGCAAAACAGGCACTCTACTGCTTGAGCCACACCTCCAGTACATTTTGCTCTGGTTATTTTGGAGATGAGGTCTCACAAACTATTTTGCCCAGGGTGGCCTCCAACAGTGATCCTCCTGATCTCACCATCCCAAGTAGCTAGGATTATAGGAGTGAGCCACTGGTGCTAGGCTTTTATTTTATTTTGGTGCTGGGATTGAACCCAGGGCTTCTGTATACTAGGCAAATGTTCTACCATTTAGCTACACTCCCACCCTACTTGTGTATTATCTTTGGCTACTTTTGCGCTACAATGGAAGAGTTGAGTAGTTGCAACAGAGACCATATAGCCTGCAAAGCCTAGAATATTTATTATTTAGCCCTTTACAGGAAAAAAATGTACTGACCTCTGTTCTAACAAGATAACTGACCATTCCCTGAAAATGGCCTGTTTTTTCTATCTCCATTTCTTTGTTCATGCTGTTCTCATCTCCCCTACTTTCTTAAGTCATACACATTCAGGTTTGAACTCAAGGCTTTGCACTTACAAAGCAGGCACTCTACCACTTGAGCACACCTCCAGTCCATTTTGCTCTGGTTATTTTGGAGATGGGGGTCTCTCGAACTATTTGCCTGGGCTGGCCTCAAACCATAATCCTCCCAATCTCAGCCTCCCAAATAGTTAGGATTACAGATGTGAGCCACCAGGCACCCGACTACTTGTACACATTCTTTAAGACCAGTTCAAATAGCACATTTTTCTGGAAGTCTTGCCTGATCTTAAGGTGAGCTTCTCTGTGCTCCTAGTATGGTATTTCTACCACTCCTTCACATTTACTGCATTATGCCGAATGTTATGATTGTCATAAGCAATAATTGTAAATTGACCTAGTCATCTGCAACCTCACAAAGCATAATAGCCCCTTGCTTTACAGATGTTTGTTGAACTCAATGATTCCCTATAAGCTCAAATACTGGGCTGAAATCAGTAAGATAATGTTTAGTAGGAAGAAATTCTTAAAGCTTACATGCGATTCCATATTTAATTGTATAAGACTTAGCTGCACTCATGAGAGTAATAGTGTTTCTCAATTCCAGCACTACTCACATTTTGAGCAGCTAATTCTTTGTTGTAGGGAGCTATCCTATGTATTGTAAAATGTTCAACAGCATCTTTAGCCTCTATCCACTAGATTGCATCTCCCCAGTGTGACAACCAAAAATGTCTCCAGACATTAATAAATGTCCCCTGGGAGGAAAAATTGCCCCCAAGCTAAGAACCATTATTCTACAGGTTTCTAAGTACAAGCCAACAGTAATATGCTGTTGCTAATAAAACATAGACTACATAGCAATTGTAGTACAGTGTCCAGATTAAGAGATAACAGTCACATAGTATTCAGTGTCATTGACTCACACTTATGAGATTGTGCTCAACTCCGAATTTTAAAGGGACTTTGGAAAATTGGAATTCATTCAATTAAAGGTAACCAGGCCAATGAGAATCTGGGGGAAAATGTCATAAGAAGGATATTTAGTACTGGGGATATGGCTCAATTGTTAGAGTGCCTGCCCAGCAAGCATATAAGGCCCTGAATTCAAACTTCAGTACCACTATGAGGGAAAAGAATGGAAGGAAGGAAAGGAAGGGTGAGGGAAGGAGGAAGGCAAGGATGGAGGGAGGGAGGGAAAGAATATTTAAATGGAAGTGGTTGATCTGTACAAAAGAAAATAAAGAGAAGCTATGGTCTTTAAACATGATGGGATGTCCTATAGGAAAGAGGCTACTATGGAAGGCAGAATTAGAATTAGAACCAATGAGCACCTGTGCATGAAGGCAGATTTGGTTCTATGCAAGCAAAAGCTTCCTATCAGAGTGGACCAAAAACATATTGGGCTGAACTGTGAAAGACTGTGCTCTTACTCTGGGAGTGTTCATTCACAGACCAATGAACTGATATAAGACATTCTGTAGAGAGAATCCTGCATGGGGTGGCAGGTAGGACAAGATGGTCTAAGATTTTTTTGTAGCTCTGGGATTCTAAGGCTAGAGCCAAATGTCACGAATGAGCTATATACATACACCGTAGGTGATTTTAAGACCTTGATTACAGAAAAAAGAAAAGTATTTTCTCAAATAATTTATCCTAGTTCTGCTTGGTAACATCTTACATATCTTATATTTAGTCTTCAGCACTGTAACTACTAGTGACCTACTTTTTCTAATTAACCTATAGTAATTCCTGAATAATGTTAACCACTATGTTTAAACTGTATCTTTTTTCCCACTAACAATTACCATTAATATAATTTGTAAAATGCTTTACAGTTTTCAAAGCGTCCTGACACACATTAGTTTACTCCCATTACCTAAATATGAATATGACAACTTCTTAGATAACCTACTCATTTGCTGTCTCTTGCCTAATTATAAAAGCTATCTATCCTTTATTATTTATTAAATATTCATTAATAAAGCATATTCCAGTAGATACTCATCTTCAAAACAAATCATTTGTACACAACCAAAAGATAAGCCAAATCTAATTATTTCACTATCAGATAATCCAAGCTTAATTATTTCAGCATCATAAACATGGATTTACTTCAGTGAAATTTTTACTTTATTCATGATTTGGGGAGGAAAATTTGAGATATTACAATTTAGTATTCCTAAATTACAATGTGGCCACACAATTCCAAAAGTTCTAGAAAGCAGTAACACCAAAACATAAAAGCGTGTGTCGTTGACAGGCAAAACTGCAGTAGGTTGTAAGCCCAGGGACTCCTTAACTCCCCACTTAAAACTGCCAACAAGAGCTGTGTAAGAAGTTGTCCCAAAGCCAAACTGGGCCCGCACCCTCCACTTTACTTACTTCTTTACGTTTTGTTTCTGGACATTCCGACTGCAGAGTAAGAGTTGCACCTTCGATATTTCTTGGCATGGGTGTGGAACCAGGGTTTATAGTCAAATGAATCTGATCTGGTGAGATAATGTGTTGCACGTAACCCTGGGACATTGCTTCCTGATCTATTAGGAAGCCCTCTTCGCCCCCTACTAGAAAAGGCAAGTGTTCTCCACACTGTCCATCATCATCTTCATCCTCCAAAGTGCCAGGGTCCTGCTCAATAAGAACAGTGGTCCTATCATAAACAGTTCCAGATGAGGAAGGCACCAGTCCGTTTTCATCCACAAACCTGAGCATTTTGTCTTCGGGGGTCAGCTCATCTTCCTCTGCCTTAAAGAAGATGATGTTGTCGTCTGGACTGTGTTCACCCATGGTTCAACCGTGCTCAGCTCAATTGTGAGAAATGGAAAGGTAATGACCTTTCTGCAAGAGACAAAGCCAGAGTAAGAGGCATATCCTAAGACCCACTGATCTCCTTAGCAACCTCAGAGTTAATTTTCCCTTTCCTTAAAGAGCAGGTCAAAGTAAATGAAAAATCATCTTTCTGGGAAATTTTTCTTTTAATTTTAACTTTGATAAAATCGAGTACCTCATTCTAAAGAGAACACTGACTTTTTTTCAAAAGTTTAAGAAGTAGCAGTTATAAGACCTTCTAAATGTGCCTACTGTCAATTTGAAGGTTGGTCAAAATACTTAAAAGAGGATAAAGAAGCAAACAGAAAGGTGGGTGCTTCAAGGATGACTTGTTAGAAACCTTAAGGCAATCCCATTCAAATATTCCTTAACTCATACCATGAAGCAGACACGGCGTCATGTAATCCACAGTGAAAGAGGCAAGGCTTTGGATGCAATCACCTACAAATCCTGGTTTTGCCCTTTATTACTTAGGTAACTTTTCTGTATCTTCTTTTTCGTATGCCTGTGGTGGGACTAGTAACTCCTGTTCTCACAAAGTTCTTAGAAGTAAAAGGCAGAATGTATGTAAATACAAGGCCTAACAAACAACAGAAGAACCAGTGTGAGAACAAGTGTGAATTCCTTCTCTCCTTCCTAGAACAGAGATTTCAGCTTCTGGGTGGAGGGGCTAATCCTTCATAAGATACATCTAATGGAAATCACTTGAATTACTTATCTCCTAAAACAATACAGGATAGACCAGAAGCTATGCTTGTACAGTGGGATTCTGTCCTGAGGGAATGTCCTTGGTATGGTACACTGACACTTACTAGGAGCTCAGGAAATGTCAGTTAAATGAATGAAAGACATTCAGGTATTCCCTTGGAAAGATACACTCTCTTGGGGGAAATACCGCATTTGAAGCTTTCATGATCCAGAATTCTTCCTAAAACCTGCAAACACACAGGTTCTACAAACGTGGGTCAGGCAGAACAGAGAATTTAAAAATTCAGCACCTCACTTTTACTTTTCAGCTTGGCTCTGCACTTTCTTCTGCTCAGGGTTAGAAAGTACGTCTTTGAGTAGGGGAGCGGCCAGGGGTAGTTACTAGAGACAGGTCAAGGGATCCGATCCGGGAGGAACCCGCCCGACCCCTTGCTCTGGCTTACGCAACCCCACAGATGCACATTTCGCAGTAGCTGAGGAGAGATAAGAGGACCGAGAGCCGAAATGGGCTGCTCCGGCACCAACTTTCCGGAACAAACAAGACCAGGAGGTCTGAGGGTGGCCGAGGAGTGCGAACGGAGCACCCTAGAGAGGCTGGGAAGAGGAACCTGTCTGGGATAGCCCAGGACTACACAGCAAAATCAGAAGACAGGCTGGGGGGAGGGGGGCACTATGAGACAGGCGAAGAGGGGCAGGGTCCGGGTCTCCATGGAAACAGGGAAAGGGGGGCTGGATACCCATCCCCATGGAAACGGAGGAGGGGTGGGGTCCCTCTGCTGAGCAGAATGAGGTGTTTACTGGAAATTGCTTCAGGACGAAGCCTAAGTCCTGCGCCCCTAGCCTAAGTCCTAGCCCAGGTCGAGTCTAGTTTCGCTTTTTACCTTCGCGGCTCCCGGCAACGGCGGCGGTAGCACCTTCTTCCCTCCCCAGCGGCACCATGATTGCCCCCACCTTACCAACGTCACTTCCGCTTCCGCCTTCCGGAGGAAGGGGAGGACGGCGACTCGGTCCCCTCTGGAACTTCTGGTAGGCTCCAGCGGTCTGGGGGCTGAGCTCGCGCTTCCAATTGGCAAGCGGGAGGGGCGGGGCGAGGCACCGCGGGCGTGGCCGGGCGGTGGAGTTTGTGCGATGCGGTGAGGCGCCCGAGGCCTTCGCGCGCTGTTCTTGAGGTCAGGGGTCCGTGGCTACTTCAGCCACAAATTTGAGATCTCCTCAGTCCTCTTGTGCCACAACTTCAGCGGGAAGAGTCCCAGCTAGCCGTCAGATCCCAGCTCGGGACCCCTGGGGGCGCGGCTGTGACGTTCCCGAACTTCTCCCTCAAAGGCTCCAGAGCCACCTTGTCACCCAGCAAAGCTAACTCTGCGGGAGGCTACAGGAAAGGGAAGCAGAGCTAGGAGTGTTCCAGCCAGAGAGGGTGCCGCGCCTCCTCCCTTCTCACACGCTTCCCCGAAGCGCAGTTTCCTGTCTCCTCACACTCCAGCCCACGCTGGCTGTCCCAACTTTTCTCGCCTGCGGAGGACTTTCACGCTAGGGCCAGTCGACGCCACCTAGTGGCCACTCGCTTTCTTGACCATTTCCACTCATCCTACCCGCCAGCCTAAATCGCTGGACAAGCAGTGACACTCCAGCGTCCAAGAAGCGATCTTGCCTGTCCCTCTGCTAGGCTCCAGCCTTCTCAAGATGCCTGCACGAGGAAGCTGTTTAGACGCTCCGAGCTACCACTGTCACTTGTCCCATGAACTACTTCTCTGGACTATCAGAGTGGGACAATCCCTACTCTGGATTGGGGGCCCAGGGACACAAGCTCTTGCTTGAAAAATGTGAATAGTGTCTCTTATCCACCAGACTGCTAGATGGATGTCTCTTTGGTCCCTGACCAGCTGTTTCAATATGCAAGCCTCAAAGATCCAGCGGGGGTAAAAAAAAAATACACAACAACCACTGTTAAAAATATTTATCATTAAAATATATTACACATATGAGAAAAGGGATACATCCTAAACAGTTTGGAGGATTTGCTGGTCTAGATAACATGGCGTTCCACCAGCACCCCCATTTCATCCGTGCTTTCAGAGCTGAGGAGAGCCTATCTGAGCAGGAAGAGGGTAGTTTCCCTATGAGACACGCCCTCAGATTGGGCAATGGAAGTGCTTGCTGGTTGAGGGTTGTTCATCCAGGAGCATCCATCGGCATTCCTGATGTCCAACTCATTCTCCTTTCAGAAGACTTTGTTTAAACATCTGATCACAAGGAGCTGAGCCCAGGCTAAAGGGAAGGCACTGACTACATCCTGGAGGCAGGTTGAGTGAGCAAAAGTACACTTACATAAACAATTTTTAAATAAAAAAAATTAATAGAGATCTATTTGTGTTAAATAACTAAAGTTGAATATCAATGTCAGTTTTATTATGGATTTCCCCCATGTTTTCACAACGCAGCGCAGACTGATAACCAATGGCACTGACAAGGGGAAGATCTAGGCTCAGGAAACAGGCAGCTGCCATTCTTGCTTCCAGGAGGCCGCCCATTATCTTAAGGCATCATCGCGTCAGCTGAAACAGGTGGGGCTGGCAATTGGCTGCCTTGGGTCAAATTGTTGGAGGAGACAAAGCAGCTCAGAGTGGGTTGCAGAGAAACTGGTGAATAAACTCTTGAGCCTTCCTCTTCTCTGCCATTTCAAGCTTTTGGTGACCAGCTGGGTTTCGAAGCAATAAGCTGCCAAATATGCTAGCTGTGTGTGGAAAAAAATACAGAAAACAAATGATTCCGCAAAAAAGAGTACTATTTATTTTTGTGTTATTAGCAGTATTTTCTGCTTTAGAAACCAAACAGCTGGGTGTGGTGGTTCATGCCTAAAATCCCAGCACTCTCAAGTTCCAGATCAGCCTGGGCTACATAATGAGTTTGTGGCCAGCCTGAGCTCTATAAAGAGACCCTGTCTCAAAAAAAATTTTTTTGTAATAAAAAACAATTTGGGTTTTTAAAAAATTTGTTGCATGCTAGGCAAGCACTCTAGAACTGAGCTACTCCCCCAGTCCCAAACTGAGTAAACCTTGCCCAGAGTTGGGCATAGTGGTGAAAACTTGTAATCCCAGCACTCTGAGGGTCTGAGCACAAGAGGATCAAGAAGCGTTCATGGCCAGCCTGAGCTACACAGCTAGACCCTGTCTAAAAAAAAATCAAAACTTTGCCCAGAGTTTGAAATTTTAGCTGTGCTATAATGGATTGGGACCCTCCTCAGCCTCCTTTCTCACACCCTAAACACTTAGCTTCTTACCTAGAATATTTTCATCCAAATGATTTTTTGCTGAATTTTTCAACAATTCTTGCAGAAACGCCATCAAGTAGTTGAAGACATTTTTGTGGAATGTAGGGAGAGTAGAAATAATCTGAAGGAGGGAGAGGTGGGATTTGTCTTTGTGTTCATTCAATTATTTATGAAGTAGCCTACTATATTCCAGGAACTAAGTACATGATCTATGAACATGAGAACTTTAATCACTTACCCCTTGGCATACAGAAGTACCAAAAGAGCACAGATCAAACACTACGTGAATTTAGAGGTTAGACTTCTAACTCCATGTTCTTAGAAGACTTAAGGAAATAGAAGACCTTTCAATTGGGTCTTGAATATAAGACAAAATTGGACTTGTAGATATAAGGACTACAGCATATGGGGTAAAGAAGTAAAAAAGGCAAGACATGAGATAAACAGGGAAGACATATGAGAAGTCATTTTGGGCAGGAGCATAACCACTTTAACAGGCACTTCACCCTGGAAGGGGTGTTCAAAAGCTAGAATTCAATGAATAGCCCAGCACTTGCCTATCAAAATCAACTGGAAACCTTATACAAAACACTCAAAAAAACTTCTGATTCAATGGACTTGGGCTAAAGTTCTAGAACCTGTATTATTGGCAAGTGTTATAGATTACTCTGTCAATGCTGTTGTAAAACTGAACCATTAGGCTAAATCATAGAAAGTCTTGAATATTTAAGAAATTCACTAATTGATAATGAAGAGTGAAGTATGATTTTTTTTGACCAACATGAGGAAAGCCTTAGAATACATAATACGATAGCAACATTCAACAAATGAGGAGAGGGAGAGCCTGAATATGGAACAGTGAACCAAGGCAAATAGAATGAGAGTGGAAGAGAGAGGATAAGTAATAGATCAATGAGACTGAGCATGTGGGAGATGAAGAGAGGGAGGAGTCAGAAATGACTCAAGTTTCGGGTTGAGTCACTGGAATTAAGGGTGATGCTATTAAAAGTAAAAGGGACACGAGAGGAAGAACAGGTTTGAGAAGGAAAAACATGGTGTTCCACTTCTAAGACACTGCACTTGAGGGACTGTGCCCACTTTATTGTCAGGCCTCATTTGCCTAGGGCTAGCAAAATATGCTGACAGTCAGTGCTTCCCCTCACCTGTTTGCTCACTGTATAATTGCCAGAACACTCCAAGCAGTTATGATAGGTACTGTAACAGATGACAGGCTCTGGCAGACTCTCCAAGAAAAGCAGCAAAGCTTCAGCTACAGAATGGTTGCTAGCAGCTTTTGGCCCATCGTTAAGGAACAGGTGAAGATGCTGCCCATGATTAGAAGGCACAGGGGCAAGCACAAGCCAGAAGTGCTGCCTGCTCCATCAGGCTCTCTGCTCAGAGCTAGGATGGCAGCCTGACATCTTAAAAGGGCCAGGTGAGACAGGCCTTCCTGAGTTCTTGCTATATTGATTGCTTAAAGTTGTAAAGTCTTCTCTATGCAAACTTTTACATGTTAGCTGAGGACACAACATCATACTTTAAGCTTTGGAATAATCTTTCCCTTTTCTCACCTCTCTTACACACACACACACACACACACACACACACACACACACACACACGTCTGAAGGATACAGAGGTTATCAATCATTCCAGTATCCAAACAGTCCCTGATATGTTCAAATTCTGACCTCAGGCCCGGCTGTTGAAACAGATCTTCCTGCAAAAGGAAAGAAAGTCATAAAACAATTATTTTCTCAGAAAATTGGCAATGATTTCCTGATTTAGCAATGTGATGAAGAGTAGAAAAAGCAGTGTAGTAGCTTCTCTTCCTCAGCTGTGACTGTACCGGAGCCACTAGCACACTTGGACCATGGACCCTGGGGAATGCACTTCTATGTCTGGAGGTATCTGCATCTGTGGAGACAACTGCAAATGCACAACTTGCAACTGTAAAACATGTCGCAAAAGCTGCCGTCCTTGCTGCCCCCCTGGCTGTGCCAAGTGTGCCCGGGGCTGCATCTGCAAAGGGGGCTCAGACAAGTGCAGCTGCTGTGCCTGAAACCCACTCATCAATGCTGGGAGAGATCCTGGGGAGCATCTATACAGTGCATGAGTCAAGAAGTTGAAACAATTGTACAATAAGTTGTGCTTTTTATATATTTGCCCAAATGTGGTGTTGGTGACATTCACGTAAAGTGCTTGGAGCAATAAAGCTTTTGCTCATGGTTAAAAAAAAAAAAAGCAGTGTAGGTGAGACCTTGAATCACCCTGGTAGACAATGTGATTTAGGCTGATGTAGCTAATGTATCTTGTAGGACTTCCCAGACATGTTTTTACGATAGGTCATTAGGTATTTATTCTAAAATTATGGGTAGGGCACACTAAACAAGAAAAGATCCAACTTTCAAGCAACTATATGTTTTCTGCAGTGTTATAAGAGATTCACTAGGAAAAACAACCTGAAAAACATACCATGAGTAGAATGGATCCCTAGGACTCAAACAAACAAACAAAAAAATGGAAAAAGTTAAAAAGACTCCTCAGAGTTTTATGCAAACAAAATCATGGTAACAAACATGGTAACAAAGGTTATTTCCATTAATCTCAGGACACTTGATATTCACTTGTTTTATAAAGTGAGTTAACACCATATAACTGTTCAGTAACAAAAATGATCATATGTACTGCTCACAGTTATATTCGAAAGGTGCTCTACAAAGAGATAGAATACTGCAGTACTTGAGAATGTGATTTCTGGGACTGGAGGCATGGCTCAAGTGGTAGAGTACCTTCCTGGCAAGTGGAAAGCCTTGAGTTCTTGAGTTCAAAACCCAGTACCACCAAAAAAATAAAAATAAAGATAAAAAATATGACTTCTGGGGTCTGGAGCACAGTGACAGAATGCTTGCCTAACAGGCATGAAGCCCTGGGTTGGATCCCTAGCCCTGGAAAAAAAAAAAAATTGTGACTTCTATAGCAGAGTCCCACCTCTGCCCATTTATTAACTTGGAACCTTGACCAAGTTATTTACCTTTCTGGGCATCTGTTTCCTCATCTGAGAGCTATTGTGAGAACCAAATGAGGCAATATGGTAAACACTTAGAACAGACCATGGTAAACTGCAACACTCAATAAATGTGAGGGGAGAAAAGTGACAACAGAACACCATAAGAATGCATGTTGCTGGGCCAGGGATGTAAATCAGTGGAGTGCACTTGCCTAACATGCACGGACCTGGTTTGATCCCCCGCACTGCAAAGACATAAAGATGTATGTTGTTGTGGGATTCTGATTTGTATAGGCAGATTAGCCAAACTGACCAATGAACTCCATGAAGCTTGCCCAAATCACTCTAGAAATCTGGCCTCCAGATTCATGGACCAGGTTCCATCTGGTCCTCTGCCTCTACCTGGATTATCAACAGGTCTGCCCCTCCCATTCTCAGAAGCTGTTGAGAATTCCTGCAAAGGACAGCAGGATGACATCCCAGGAGGCCTTCAAATGGCTTTCCAGCTGGGGGTTCCCAGAGGCCTGAAGAAGGAACATGCCGTGCTAGGAAGACTGTCCTGTGCAAGGCTGGTTCCCTTGGGGGTAATCAAGATCAAGTACTGAATGTAATTGCAGGTCTCAGAGAGGTGTGAAGCATAGCACAAAATCTATCTCCCATTCAGTCCCTAGGGGAAAGAACAGCTCTCCACAGCTTCCTTAAGACTAAAAGCTTTCTGGCAGAAGGTTCTTGGGGCAGATGGTCCCTCCCAAGGCAGCCTGGCTTCAATCAGGTTTGACTGCTTAACCACAACCTACCTGCTGGATAGCATTTCGGTACAGGTAATCAACCATCATCCAGAGCTCTTTAGGAATTTCCATAGGCCTCTCCAACTGGCTCCCATCATCTTCTGCTTGTAGTGGCATCAGAGTCTGAAAAAATAAATAAATAAAAATCATGACAAGATGGCCCACCAGTGGAACTTCTGCCAGGCTGGCTTCAGGAGAATCCATGATATGGGAACAGCAAAACCTTCCACGGGCAAAAATGAAATCGGTGATACAACTGAGGGAGAAAGGTGATTTCTGAGAACTGGAAGTGGGTTATGGAAAGCAGTTTCAATGAACCAGATGAAATATGTACCATCTCAGAAAAAAATCATTCCTTCAGTATTCTGCTCTACAACCAGAGAGGCAGTGTGGTTTGGTGAGGAAAAAAGCACACAGGAGTCCAAAAATCTGAGTTCAAGGTCCAAATCCACTGTTACCTCACCATGTGACCTGTGAAAAACCACTCTCCTTGATTAGACCTCTGTTTTCATCTAGAAAATGGAGAGGATAATTTAAGAGTCCCTAAATTAAAAAAAAAATGCACTGGGAAGAAAATCATACAAATTACCACTAGTCCACCCCAAACTAATTCTCTTGTATTAGAACTGTGTCCATAGAAGCCTTTAAGATCCTAGCAAATTTAGTTTAGGATGACAACTTACCAAGTAATGATTTTAAAAACTGAATAATAGCACAGTCCAGGGAACTTTCATTATCTTATAGTTCATTACTGAGTTTCTCTAATAAGAACTGAATACCCCAAAATTTATACATTGAATCCTAATCACAAATGTGATGGTATTTGGAGGTAGGACCTTTGGGATGTGGTTACATCATGAGGGCTATGTGGTCATGAATGGGATTAGTGCCTTTAAGAGGGACAACAAAGAAGCGGCCCTTACTCTTTCTGCCATTTGAGGATACAGTGTGCCCATCCAAGAACCAGAAAAGTGGACTCTTACCAGATACCAAATCTTTTCTTTGGCAGCACTGGGGTTTGAACTCAGGGACTCAGGCTTGCTAGGCAGGCACTCTACCACTTAAGCCACTCCACCAGCCCCTTTTTTGTGTTGGGTTTTTTCAACATAGGGTCTCACAAACTATTTGCCTGGGCTGGCTTCAAACCTCAATCCTCCTGATCTCTGCCTTCCTGAGTAGCTAGGATTATGGATGTGAACCACTGATGCCTGGCAGACAGCAAATCTTTAGATGTCTTTATCCTGTACCGCTCAATTTCCAAAGCTGCAAGAAGTAAACTTCTCTTGTTCATTAGCCATTCAGTATATGGTATTCTGTAATAATAGCCTGAATAGACTAAGATATGCACTGGGTGTGAAAGACTGAAAAACATGGCCACATTTTATAACTGTACCCATCAAGAAGTGGAGACTTTCCCACCCTGAAAACTTCACCTAGCTTCACAAGTTGCTCTGTCCCATGTACCACAGTAGAAATGGTACTATGTGAGTTTTTGGAGCCTATGCCACAAAAGGCCTTAGTTCTTACTTGTGCGCTCTTTCCACCACGTGTAGAAGCCAGAGCTCACTTCCTGAAAAAGAGAGCTCATGTGTAGGGAGAGGCTCAGAAAGCAGCCAACACTGAGACATGTGAGGGAGGCCACCTTGAACCCTCCAGTCATCACAGTTGCCAGGTGATTTACAGTGGAACAAATGAGCCTAAGCCAGACCAGCAAAAAAAAAACCAACAGAGTCACGAAAAACAACTCATTGTTCTTTAATTTGGGGGTGATTGCACAGCATTATTTAATTGATACATTAAGCAAGCTCTAGGAGGTTGAAGAATCCTTAAGTCCCTTGGAAAAAAGGTATAAGAATACCTTGTTTGACTAGTTCGGCTTCTACAAAGCATAAGATGTTTCCTTATAGAATGAAACTTACCAGCTCACTAATTCTTTCAAGTGGCAGGTCCAAAATTGGCTGCCTCATGTAGCACAATGTATGAATGGGAGACCCGAAACAGCTGGGCAGGTAGTTTCCAGACACAGACAAAAAGTAATCCTTTCCCCTGTCTAAGTGCAGGACCAGAATGTCCTCAATTTTGTCTTCACCTGAGTTGAGTTTTGTGGCTGTGGTCTTATTTACAAAGAGCTCCAATTCAATCTCAATGTCAGAATCTGCAGAAAAATAAAGTAACGTTGGACAGAGAGAGGGAAAAAGGAAAGAGGAAAAGCAGATAGGAGGGAAGAGAGTAAGACATAAAGAAAGGGTTAGGAAAAGGAAACAAAAAGTATCAACCAATCAAGTAGCTATGTGTTCAGTACTCAGGAGACACAAGAAGTTTGCAGTCTGAGAATATAAATACAAACAAACACTTTTGAATAGACAAAATGCTAAAAAAAAAAAAAAAAAAAAAAATTTCAAGTACTATGTAGCATAGCTCAAGCCAGAAGTATTAAGTCAATAAGAAGGCATGGATCAAAGAGCTGTCCTGAGCCAGGTAAGATGAAGATACCGATCCAGTAGAGACATAATACAATTACCAGCCTGTGAACTATCCACAAATCCTTAATCCTCTGCCACATAGCATCTCACAGAGTGCACAGGAAAAGCCAGAGGAAAAATATAGATGGTATATCTGAAGGACAGACATAATTTCTGGATTACTACACTATTAACTCTGCATAAGAACAGATATTGGAAATTGGTTATGGTAAAGCAGACAGGGGAAATGGCTCCTTTCATAGCAGCACCTGCTTTATAGTAATCTATAGTATACAGGTTACTATACTATATACTATACTAATCTATAGTATATAGTATAATAATTTGTGAAAGTATGGAGCATACAAATAACTCAATGAAAATGCTTTTGAAATTGAACATAGGCCCCTCGCTATTTTATATTTTATTTATGGATGGGTTCAGCCATAGGGCTTTTTTTAAAAAAGAAAAAAAATTTCAGGCAGAGACCAAAACACTCAAAAGCAAAAAAAAACTTACTTTAGGAGAATGAACAAAGCCAGGGTAGGTATTCCCCAGACCAAAAAACAGGAACCTGGGAAGAGAGGCCTTACCTGGCAGAAGGAACCCTTTGCTGGGGCTGGCGTTCAGCCACTGCTTACAGTAAGAGTCTTCGTCAGGCTTGCTGATAAATTCAAACTGACAGGGTACTTGTCCATTATGAATTGTGAAGGACTCTACTTGCAATTGCATGTATTTCACATTCTGAAAACAGAACTGGGAACAATCAAGGGACCAGTCAGAACCAGTACCTTCTCAGCCACCTCCCCACACAACCCAACTGGGCAATTCTTGTCTTGGGAAGAAAATGAAGGACCATCTCTTTGAAATGCTCTTTTACATATTTACCTGTGGGGGTTCAGCTACCACTACAGATCAGTTATTTGTGTAACCCTAAGACCCCAAAACTCCAAAAACACATACTGTTTTATACATAAATTTCCTGAAGGAATCAAAGTTTGTGTCTTCTATACCCAAAAAACATTTCTAAAATACCTTTCACAAATTCCACCACTCAACATGAAGATCAAGCTCACATTCCAAGTAGGTAGACATCCATCACACTAAGAGTGCTTTTATCATAACCACCATTTAATTGATATGTGGCCTCATTCACTTTGGAGGAGCTGTGCTGTGGCTCTTCTATGAAAAGCCGTTAGGCCTAATTAAATTTCCCTACTGCCCACCACTTTTCTATGCTGTTTTCCCTTCCATCAACTCGTGCATCCAAGAAATTCAGAATCCATTTCATCTCAAAGTAAAGCATCAGTAGGAAGACAAACATATATTCTAAAATCAGACAGCACATTTTGGATCATCTTCCAGTTTAGAAGATGAGGACATAGTTCAAACCCCAGTACTGAGAAAGAAAAGAAAAAGGAAAACAGAGGGAGACAGAGGGGAGGGGAAGGGAAGGTAGGGGAGAGGAGGGGAGAGGAAAAACAAACAAGGTGAGGACAGGGTGGGATGTAGTGGGGGAAAAAAAGATGACATGACCATAAGTTAAACCAACAACCTCTTTTTTCTCAGCTAGCATCATCGGCCTCACTTTATCTAGAAGCAGCTTCTCAAGAAATAACAGTCCAATAGTGTGTGTGACAAGTGGCCAGTTGGCCTGAACATTATAAGTTCTAGTATATGAGAAAGATTTAAGTTCTAGGATTAGAAGAGTCCAATGTTAATATCCTTAGCATGCCCTTCCTACCTCTCGCCTGGAGAGGGACACAGAAGGAATGTTGGCATTTTCCATTTTGTCCAGGGAGTGAACAATTTCCTCCAGAGTCTTCCGGTAGAGCTCTTCATTTACAACCCTTACCTGCAATGGAAATGTCAGACTGAGAGTGGAGGCTTCTGTCCATTTCCTCTTTCTCATTATAGAGGGCATTTATGTCATTGGGAAATAGCAATAGCTAGCAATTCAGAAAGTGAAGGCTAAGTGCATTTAATTAACAAAGAACTCAACTAATAATAAACTTAGAAGGATTTCCCCACACATACACAGCCCAGCTATGGAAAAGTCACCTGCTTCCTAATCTGCTCAAAGTATACATGGGAGTGACATCATGCTGGCCACAAGTTCTGCTGGGTCTTGCCCTGGAAAAACAGGCTCAGTGTCCAGTTCTATTTTGCTTGCTGCCACCCACAGGTCATCAGTGAGAAACTTTCCAGGCTTTGATGTAAAGCAATGTTTCTCAAACTTTTTAAACCCTTGCTGCCAGCCAGCAAGATCTTGTTAAGCTCTCTCTTCTATACTTTGAAACATAAACACGATTTCTTCACTTTCTAATAATAAAATTTTAATTATAACATTCAGTAAGCGCTTCTGTAAATAACACCCTCACAGATTCTGATGTGCCTATACCCACACTCTTGAGAATAGGTAGTAGAACACAACACAGAAGTGGCTATGCAGAAATACATATAGATAATAAATGAAAAGATGGTTGATTACACTAGTAATTGGGGAAATGTAACATATAATAATGAAACACCTTTTTGTTCTTATTGGGTTGGGAAAAATTTTAAAGACTGAAAAAAAATCCAATATTGGCAAAGATACGGGAAAATAAGCTCAAACATAGTATGTGAAAGTGTAAAATGGTAAGAACTACTGAGAAGGTAATTTAGCAGGATCTTATCTTTTTTTTTTTTTTTTTTTTTTTTTTTTTTTTGGTCTTTTGAGACAGGGTCTTGCTATGAAGCTCAGGCTGCCCTTGAAATTACTACATAGCCCAGGATGGCCTCTAACCCTCCATCCTGCCTCAGCTTCTCATCCCAAATCCTGGGATTATAGGTGTGCACCACCACACCTGGTAGGATCTAGTAAATTTAAAATATAATTTTTTTTTTTTTTTGAGACAGAATCTTGGCAAGTCACACAGGTTGATCTCAAAATCCTGGACTCAAGTCAAGCAGTCCTTTTGCAGTAGCTCCCCAAGAAGCTGGCACTACAGGTGCGTGCCACTAAACCCTGCTAAAATACAATTTTCCTTGAGTCACTAATGTCACCTGTAACAATTTCATTCCATAGAAATACATACACACAAAAATATATGTGGGCTGGAGGTGTGGCTCAAGTGGTAGACCATCTGCATAGCAAGCAGAAAGTTCTGAGTTCAAACCCCAGTACTGCAAAAGTAAGAGTAAGAGAGAGATAGAGAGAGAGAGAGAGAGAGACAGACAGACAGTGTGTGTGTGTAGGACTTGAAAACAACTTAAATGCTCAACTATGGAAGTTTGCAGCCTTTAAAAATAATGAGGAGGAAACTCTACCTTTTCTGGCATGGAAAGAGCTCTGAAAACATATTCAATGGGGAACAGAAAGATGTTCTCAGAACAATATTTATAATGTTATCTCTTTTACAAAAAAAAAAGGAAGGCCAAGAGTGGTGCCACATGGCTATAATCCCAGCTATAAGGGAGGTAGAGATTGGGAGGATCATAGTTCAAAGACAATACAGACAAAAAGTTAGTGAGCTCTCATCTCAACAAATAAACCCGGAATGGTGACTCACACCTGTAATCCTTTCCCAGATAACAGGAGATGAGGGCAGTCCCAACAAAAACATGAGACCCTATCTGAAAAAAAAAAAAAAAACCTAACTAACAGAAAAAAGGGCTTGAGGAAGTGACTTAAGGGGTAGAGAGAAAAAACTTGGGTCAAGCAAGTGCAAGACCCCGAGTTCAAATTCCAGTGCTACCAAAAAAAAAAAAAAAAGAAAGAAAGAAAAATATTGTGATATTATATACAGAATACTGATACACTCATTTGTAAATACATAAAGAAAGATCTGGAATAACACATTCTAAAAAGCAAAAGGAAACTTCCAGGTCTATAGAAATACATAGCTGTGTATCAAAACAATTATTAAGTTTAAACTAAACTTTTTTTTTTTGCCTCAAAAAGTGGCATTCATTCAAAGAAAAAGGAGAAAAGAAAAAAAAAAAAACAGACAAGATGTCCATTCCTTGGCTCCCTTCCCTAAACTAAAACGATTTTAAAAGAAGCTTCCTCCTATTCGAGGGTAGAAGAGGAGACCAGAAAGATAAAAGTTGTCCCAGTATGAAAACCAACTTCCCTATAGAGATATTACAACAGGTACCAGATGCCCACCTACCCCAATGGCAAACACTGAGCTGACAGGCTTGTGGTCACTGGTCTTCAGGGCCATGTGGCTTTGGTAACTCAGCTGAGTGATGTTTTTTCCTTTCCAGAGGACTCGGTCACACCAGGCAGGAGCACGACACTTCTCACTGAAAGGCAAAGTCCACATTGGGACCACTCATAGAAACAGCAGGGCCCACTGCTCAGTGAGTGCCCTGGCTCTGACAGGGAACAAGGCAGAGCTTTTGTGTCCATGCAGCCCAGGAATCTAACATGGGAGGCTCAATTAGGTCAACCAAGGAATATACCAAGCAACTATGAACACTGTAAGCAAAAACACAGTTAAGATCGATTCTCTGCACTCTACCCTCCTGTGAGGATTAGGAGAATGAAGCCAGTATGACAGTAAGCATGCTATGGTCCTTAAAAGGAGGTAATTAAGGAACCACCTGAATTCCTACTGCCTGGAGTCAAATCCTCCTCTAAAACTTGACTGTTGGGGAGGCTTAGTTGCCAATCTCATAGGAGGAGGATAATAAATCATACTGCCTCTAGAGGGGGTGAACAGGACCAAAGTGCATTATATGCATGTATGGAAATGTCATAATCACACCTCTTCTACATACAATTTAATATATGCCAATAAATTTGTTTTAAAAAATCAACAGGTTTTAGAGAGGTTTAAAGGAGACAATACAAATAAAATTTATCAAATGATACATAGCACACAGTAACACTAACAAAAATATTACCTGGCATATAGTGATCAAGTACAGGCTAAGTTGGTTGGAATTACCTCATCACCCTAAGCATAGATGAAAAGTAAATCAGTATCAAGACCTGCTATGGAACAAAACCTAAGGAAGTGAAAAAGAAAGTACATGGCAAGGCAAGCTGCTTAGTTAGCAGATAAATGCTTGACCAGAGTGGTAAACATGGGCTGGAGTGGCTCAAGCAGTAGAGTGCCTGCCTAGCAAGCACAAAGCCCTAAGTTCAAACCCCAGTGCCACCAAAAAAAAAAGGAAAAGAAATCAAAGAGTAGAAAACAGCTGGGCACCAGTGGTTCATGCCTATAATCCTAGCTACTCAGGAGGCAGAGATAAGGAAGATCGCTGTTCAAAGCCAGCCCTGGGCAAATAGTTCATGAGACCCTATCTCAAACACAAAAAAGGAGATGGTGGAATGGCTCAAGGTAAAGACCCTGAGTTCAAACCCCAATACTGCAAAAAAAAAAATAAAATAAAATAAAAAACCAGAAACAGAAGACATGGGGAAAGAGTCACAGGAACCTTTATTCTTCTTCAGGTCCACAAGGGCAAGTGCTTCCCAGAATTCTTGAGTTTCCATTTGCTCAACTCCCTACAGTGACCTCTGACTTACCTGGTATCCCAGTCATCCGAGCCAGTGTCATACTTATATGTAGGCTGGAATGTGAGCTCACCCTCCGTGAAGCCTTCAAAGACAGTCTTAGCAGCCACTTGAATTTTCAGCTACACAAAAGGATGGGAGAGAAAATGTCTCAGAACACAATGTCAAACCCTGAATTAGTAGAGAAAAGGAAATCAGTCCAAGAGTTAACCAACTCCTGAGAAGAGGAGCAAGCTAACCATTCTTTCACCTGGCATAGCTTGTTTTGTTTTTGAAGTACTAAGGATTGAAACCAGAGCCTTGGTCATGCTAGTCAAGTGCTCTATCATTTGAGCCACGCTCCAGTACTTTTTCTTGTTTTTTTAAAAAGAGGGTCTCATTATGTAACCCACGTTGGCCTCAAACTCTCAATCCTCCTATCTCAGCCTCCTGGGGGCTGGGATTGCAGGCATGATACCATGCTGTGCCTGATCTACAGCTTTTAAGGCTTTTAAAAAATATTTTTTTCTTTTTTGAGGCAGGGTCTCTACATGCAGCCTAGGGTAGCCTCGAATTTGTGTGAATCTCTTGCCTCAGCAACCCCAGTGCTAGAATACAGGTGTGCACCACCACACTCAGCTTTAAGATTCCTTTGTAGGAGCAAATCTGCATCTAGAGGCCTGAGTACCGTCTTACTGAGACATCCCTAACAGGACTAGGTACCACTCAACATAGTTTTTCCCTTCCAAGTATCAAATATTTCATCTGCACAGTATAGCTGTTCCAAACATATATAAAGAGAACTATGGTGTCAAGTTGTGTTATGTGAACTGAGGGAAGCTCTGTGCCTTGTTTTCACCATCTGTAAATGTGAAAGAGGCCACCTCATAGGGTCATGAGGAAGATAATAAACCTGAAACAGTGCATGACACATTCTGAAAACAGCTAGCATCCTTCCTATTGTATTACTTCTAGGGGCTCCATTCAGATCACACTCTCAGCAAGTGATAAAAACCATGGGTGCTCCCAACTCTTCCCTGGAGCATCAAGTCTCGCAAAGCTTAGATTGGGGGAGAACAGGCACCTTAACATGGGGGGCAGGTTCAGCTATCCAAGGAACACCACTTGTCAACTTCCTGAAAATTATGACTTTCTGAAAACATTAGCAAAGAAAAAGCAACAGAAAATATTATTCTTAAAAAATTAGATACAAGTGTGGTGATGATTCTTGAATGAGTACATATAGACCTTAAAACCATCTGGAGGACTGGAGGTGTGGTTCAAGCGGTAGAGCGCTTGCTTTGCAAGCACTGAAGCCCTGAGTTCAAACCCCAGTCCCACAAAAAAAAAAAAAAAAAAAAAAGATTATTACTTCAGGAAAGAAGGCAAGTGGAGACGGGTGTCAAATTATAAGGGAAATTAGAATGCTCATTTCAGAACACGGAGGAAATAAAAAGACAGATATGGAACAGATTGAGTTAATGCTGACATGGGAATTAAGTAGAATAAAAGTAATTTGCCAAGGAAAAGAGCTGGAGAGAAAAGAACTGGGTCAATAAAGAAATTCTTGCATAAAGAAAGGCACAGCAAAGTTAAGATTCTTCTCCTTCAATTAATCTGCACTGTGGAAGAAAAAGATAATGGAAAGATTTAGACCAAAGACAAGTAAGAGGGAGAATAGTTTAGACTAAAAAAGGAAAAGGATTTTAACATTTCAAACAAGCTTGGCCACTTAAACAGGTAGAAGTCTATTGAGAGGAGTAGCCAGAAGAAAGTCAGAAACAGACTTCTCCTACCCTGTGAAATGGTTAATGCTCTGAGAAAGAAATGTAAAGTCAGATGATGGCGGAGAATGACAGGCAACAGAACTAGCTCCTCTAGGAAGTGATGAAAGGCAATGAGAAAGAGCTGTTGTTCACACTGGAGAAATCTGGTGATGAAAGGATGCAGTAAGCAGGAGGTGCATTCTAAGAAGAGTTATTAAATCATCTTAAAAATTCCAAGTAGTTTCTTTGTAGAATTTGAGTCCTTTTTAGTCCCAACTTCAGACCTCTTGAATGAAAGAGAAAGAACATGCTCTTGCTCTCAAAGAAGACAATGTGCCTCAAGAAAAGAGCTAATGGAATAAGAGGATTAATAAAGAAGAAGAAAAAAAGACAAAATGGAAAGAGCTAATGGGAAGGCTGCTATGGAAGAGAGAAATGCAGATGAAAGGAAGAAATGACTGGTCATCAGGTCCTCAGGGAAACCTCCCCAGCTGAGAAGAAGAGGCTGAGGACTAGGGAGCCAGCTTTTCTGTGCCCTCACAGTGTGACAGCAGCTGCCCAAAGAGGACACAGGTGGCCATCTGTACCTGATCATATTCGTACAGGGTTTGATAGGCCTTCTCTTCGATGAGCTTTTTCACTTTTTCCACATCCAGCTCTTCTATCCTGTAGTTGAGGTCCCCCAGCCACAAGATCACACTGTGAGGACAGAGCACAAAGGCAACATGGTTTAGGAGGGACTTTAACCCGTCCTATCCAGAGTGCTTCTAACAGAAGGCACCTGAGGCTCAGCCTCTTGGGAGCTGGGTGGGGAAGTAACTTATCTATTCTGGAATTTTTTTTTCTCCTACCATACTGTATCTAACATGTTGCTTACTCAATTATCTTGGCCCAAGTTCATTATAAATAGCCTTGAGTTCTCCTATTTTATTCACGTTTGGTTGAAAACATAGCCTTATAAGACCAAAAAGCAATAGTGGTGGCTCATGCCTATAATCCTAGCACTGGGAGGCTGAGGCAGGAGATCTCGAGTTCAAGGTTCAAGGCCAGCCTGCACTACATAGCGAATTTGAGGCTAGCCTGAGGGTACATACATAATAAGACCCTGTCACCAAAAAAAAAAAAAAAAAAAAAAAAAAAACAATATCAAAATAAATATCAAGACAAGACAGTAATGTATCCCACTGCTGGGAAGAGGCAAAAAAAGATCAAGGAGTCATGCCAATTCTGCCAGAGTCCCCAAACCAGATGATTCCATAATGCCACCTCTGCCTCCACATACATTCTAGCTCACAAAACACAATCTCAATCTGTTTCTAGACAGAACTCTTCTGAAACAAAGCTCTACATTCATAGCAGAGCCTGGATTTAACCACCACATCATTGGTTGGCTTGTTCTACACTCCTGGGCAGAGATGTGATAGGTGGTTTGTTATATCTGCTGCTTTAGGAAAAAGCAAACTCAAGACTAGCTGATGACACACATCTCACGAAGTTCAAGACTGCTCTGTCTCAAGCCAACAACCAAGCCATTGGAGAAGGTGTACAGCAGTATACATACCTCCAAATGAATACATCCACAGGCTAAAGGAAGACAAACTGAGATACAAGCTGCAATCTCACAAACTAGAAGCCGCAGGTTCACTAGAAAGGAAGAGCTCAACTCTGAGACATGCTCTATGCTAGACACCATGGAGAAGAAAAAACATCCTGTTGACCTCCAAAACATTGACAAGCCAGAGAGCTCCAGTGCAACAGCCAGGAAGAGTCGTGACTCTGTTTATTCCCTGGCAAGCACCATGGCCCCAGTGGCTTCCTCCTCTTCATAAAAGAAGAGGCATAGCTTCAACTCTTACCATGAAGTCTGAAATTCTAAGGCTTTGAATTTAGACAAATAGCAAGTTTTAGAGATAAAGAAAGAAAATGAACAAAAGTTAGCATAAGATGCTCCAAGTAGCTGCAACTACAGCTTTGTGAAGTAGAATCGAGAGGAAAAAAGACCAAGAGGAAGCAAGCAAGCAGAGTCCAACTCTCCCCTGCACATGCTCTGGAAAGAACAGACAGAAAACTCTAAGAAAACACAGTACTAAAAACTGTATTTGAGATGCTTGTTTTTTGGCTGCTTTCCTCACAATGTTGGATCAAAGCAGAGTCACATTAAAATAAATCTGACACTCTTCTGGGGACAAATGATGCTTGAGAAGATTCTAGAAGTTTGCCAGATGTTAAATTAGGAAACTAAGAATTTCTAAGAGAGCTAGAGAATAGATGCTCCCCTGTAGAAGACACCTCCCCAGCAAGAAACAGAGTCCACAACTGTGTATATCATACACAGAGGAAGAAGCCCAGACTCACTCGTGCTTGCTGATGGTGAGTGGGGGAAGGCTTGGGTCAATCTGATAAAACTGCATCCGAGAACAAATGTCTTTATAGTCTTGGTTCCTCCTCTCATACTCTTCTATGTGTGCTGCCAAGTGTGAATTCACAACGCAGATGCTGGTGTTGTGCAAGTGGAACCTAATCGCCACGCCTCCTTTGTTACCCTAGTAAATGGATCCCAAAAAAACCCATTTCACAACTTAATTAAATCAGACATTTAAAATCACAAACTTTCAAGATATTTTGTCTTAAATAGTCTTAATAATAGCCTTGTGAGATTATCTATAATTTATAGATATCTATATTTACAGATAGGAATATGAATCCATGAAGGCAAAATGACCAGTTAGTCAGTGAAAGCTGAGTCCAGAGCCTGGCTTTTTCAATCTACTATTCTTTCCTCCATATCACATGTGAGCCAGATGCTCTCCCTTCTCCACACAAAGCTCAGCTCTTGCAGGAGAACCTAAGTACGTGATTCTAAAAGCCTCAAGAAGAAGAGGACATTGCAAACCTACTATCAGTATTCTTTGCTTTTTTTTTTTTTTTTTTTCTTGATGATCCAACATAGTTTCCACACCATATTTTATGGATTAAATGGCAAAATTAACCAGAGGCTCTAGTATTGAAAACTATGAGAATAGGTTCTAGTTGGGCAAACCAGTTGGAAATTCACTAACATATGGTTTCAAAATAGTCTGTCCAGTTCAGTCCTGCTTGAAGGTACACCTCCTCAACACTGGTACCCTCAAACTAGGACCTGTGCAGTCACTGCCATCATGAGAAACTGAGTCAAAACTTTAGGAGTCAAGGTCCTAATGTGCTAAACTTAAGAATCAACGACTCACCATTCTCCCCATGATTCCTGTCCCCACAGTCTCAGCTGCCACTTCTGAGATATATGCTGCATGTTCTTGTTTGACATACAACAGCAGCATAATCCCAACCAGTCGGATGAGCTTCACCTGGAAAATGAAACAAATATTCAAGTCATGGCATCAGATAGAATAAATATCCCAAAGGAAAAGTGGTCTCAAAGCTGGCTGAGAGTATTAACATCTCTCCTCCTGCATGCCAGGACACAAGGTAATTACCTGTTTGACTCACTGAGCATGCTACATGATAACCTAAACAGCTACAGTTGCCAAGACCCAGAATGTTCCCCCACCCCTCAAGAGGTGCACCTTCTGGAGGACCTGGAACTGAAAATAACAGAATAATTAGGAATGACTTACAATAAAGGTTGTGGAAAGTATGAAAAATTGTCCTAGAATTTCCCTACCTGGTGACATAAAGTTAAAAAGTGTCTGACTCCTCTCTCACCTTTGCATATTTGGCATCTGGATGAAGACTCTCAGACACAGCTTTAAACCACTCTTCCTCCTTTGGAGTATCATGAAAGAAAAAGGCTTCCTTACTCAGATCAAGTTCTTGGAACCTATTTGGAGAAGCAATCAGTTAGAGAGCAGAGAAAAGCAACATGCTGATAACATGTCCTCACATTAATTTAGGTGCTTAAGTCCTAGCTTTCCAGCTAAACTCAGGACCCTCAGAAGGGAACAAAAATGAACACTTAGAGCCAAAGAACTAAATGCATGGCACTTGCTGGGTGCTTTTGCAAACATTAGCCCACTTCCTCTCCATGACCTAGCCATGAAGTAGTTGGAAGCACTGCCATTTTACACAAGGACCAAGTCGCAAACTGGATTCAAACCTAGGTCTATATAAATTCCAACTTCTAGCTCTTTCCAATATACCATATGGGCTTCCTTTGCTGTCCCTCCCCACTAATAGTGTCTAGGACAACGATGACAAGATAGTATAGGTAAAAAGAATGACTGGCCTGCAGGTATAGCTCGGTGCTACAGCAACTGTCTAGTACTTGTGAGGCCCTGGGTTACACACACACACCTGGGCAAAAAGTTCTCAAGACCCCATCTTGAAAATAGCACACACACACACACACACACACCCCAACTGACACAACTTTAGCTAACCTTCCTTCCCTCGCAAAAGGTATTTTTGCTTTGTGATCAAAAATGTGTTTGTTTATGCAATGAAATTCAGTTCACGATGTACTAATTGAGGATATACTAAAAAATTAAGTATTAGTATTTAAATGCCAAGTTGAGCATTTTGGCAGACCTTTGTTAACCAGGAAGAACATCAAATACAGAAACAGCTGTTATTAAACACATGATCATTTCTTAATCCTTCACCTGCCACAGAGACTCAGGTACATATTCATGTCTCCATCCCTTCAACATAGCTCTACGTTCTTGAAGATGGAGAGACAACCAGAAAAGAAGCACTCACCCTACACAGTACACATCTGGGGCCTGGATACCATGGCTCAGCCAGGGCCGGAGGCATTCTTTGGGGGATTGTCCATTTACATTGTATGTTCCCACAAAAAACCTGTCGCCAAAGGGAAGCAATCAGTGATTTGGAAGTAATATGGAGAAATCAGGGAAAAGATTTTGCCTGGTTTCAGTGTCTGTGGAGCAGCATTTTAAGAAATCTTATTTAACCTAGACCAGTGACTGAAGCACCAAGGCGTAACTAGCAGTCTGCTGAAACTGTTGCTTTTGCGATAACAAGTTCAAACAATCTAGGCTTGCCCTGAATGATACTTCTCTTAAACAGGCATCATGAAACCATCATCCACCCTGTGATACTACTGAAAGGAAAAAAAATTGAAAAGTACATTGGTAATTACTTTTGGTAGGAAAGCAGCACCAGTATTCAAAAGGTTGTACCTTCAGCATAAGTCACTGTTTATATCCCTAGAAACAATGTTATTTTGTCTAATCATCCCAATGCAATGATTTTAAAAGAAATTTTTACTCATTTAACTTTGAATAATCCTGTCTAAAAGATTACAAAATACCACTTAACTTCATTATAAATGATTTTCTTCAAAGGCTCAGAATGACCAAGGGAATATAAAGCCTCATACTGATATGCAAAATTCAGAATGTCTCTTTGTTCTATACCCACTTATCTTTGTATTTCTACAACTATCTGTAAGTTGTGTCACTCCCATTATACCACCCCTACAACAGTGCCTGCCCAGAAGAGGCACAGAATGCCTGTTAATGAAGAGTGAGTAGAAGTCAGGCATGGTGGTACACACTTATAATCCTGGCACTCACTTATAATCCTGGCACTCACAAAGCTTACTTGATTCCATGAGCTCCAGACCAATCTAGGCTTAGTGAGACCCCATCTCAAAAAAAAAAAAAAAAAAAAGTGAATGGAACTACTTTTCTTGAAAATGAGGTGAAAGATTCTATAGAATGATTTGCTTCCAAATCCATGGTATGGGAGGGAAATATTTAAATTCTGGGAAGCTAAATGATCATTTTGCTCTGAAAAATAGTCAACCAAGTGCCAGTGGTCCTAGCCACTTGGGAGGCTGAGATTAGGAGGATTGTGGTTCGAGGCCAACGGACAATAAATTGGCGAGACTCCATCTCAACCAATAGCTGGGTGTAGTGTTGTATGCATGTCATTCCAAGCTACTTGGAAAGCTGAGATTGGGAAGATCATTGTTCCAGCTCAGCCTGGACAGAAAAGAAAGTTCATTACATGCTGTCTCAACAGAAAAAAAAAAAAAAAAAAAAAAGCTGAGAGTGGTGCATGCCTGTCATCCCAGCTACAGTAGGAGGATAGGAGGAGCAGGGCTGGGCTGGAAGCATGGCTCAAGTGGTAAGAATGTGAGTTGCCCAGGCTGGCTTCAAACTAAGGTCCTCTGATCTCTGCCTCCTGAGTAGCTAGGTTTACAGGTGTGAGCCACCAGCGTCTGGCTGAGGGGGTCCAGTTCTAACATGGCTTCCTTTTGTTCACCCTAACAATATCTACCTTACTATACATATTGGTGTCTCCAACTTTTCTGCTGTGCTATTCAGAATAATAATTTATCCCATTTTCATAGTGGTTTTCGCTTTATAAACCATGTTTTCCACCTACTATCTATTCTAATTTTTGTAAGAACCAAAGCAGTATTTATTACATTACTGTATTAGAGATAAAGATGCTAAAAGTTAAAGAATTTTTTGCCAAACTTGATCACCAATCTTTTCTCCATAGTAAGGATTCTTTGGTATTGCACAAATATTACATGGTAGATTCTTCCACTTACACCAGTCATTGCAACCCCTTTCCCTCCACATTTTGTAATATTGAGCATCTAATGTCTTTGACTACAAAGAGATCAAAGCTTATAATTCACTGTATATATTTAAATAAAGGTCTTTCTGGAAAAAAAAAAAGTGGTAGAGTGCCTGCCTAGCAAGCGTGAGACCCTGAGTTCAAATCTCAGTACTGCCAAAAAAAAAAAAAAAAAGGGATAGGGATTGAAATAGGAGGATTGAGTTCAGGCTGGCCTGGGCAAAAATACGAGATCCTAGTTCCAAAATAAAAAGCTGGAGGTGTGGCTCAAGTGGTAGTGGTAGAGCACCTGCCCAGCAAGCACAAAGCCCTGAGTTCAAACTCCAGTATCACAAGCAAAAACAAGAAACAATCTATCACCCAGTTAGCTACCTGAAGTTCTGGATATATGTATAATCCTCTTCTTTCTGTAGTAGATGTGATTTCACAATTGTATCTCGCAGTCCAAACTTCTGCATTGATAAAATATGAGCCTTGTCTGATACTGTGACAGTGGAGGAACGAACCATATCAGTTATTTCAGACTTGGATTTATTCTGTCTAGAAAAACAAAAACATTTTGGCATATTTTGATGAGTCCTCATGACAAAATAAATTAATATAAAGCTAGACATTCACATACATATGCATCTGAATCACAGGACTGAAGGAGACCAAAGCTAAATGTACTTGCTAAAACAACAAACAGGTAATTAAGTGAACTTATACATTATTGATCACATAGTATATTAGTCTAGAGATTTTTAAAATAGAGTCATAGACTCTTAGGCAAGAAAGAGACCTTGAAGATAATTTAATATAGTTAATTCATCTTCAAACAAGAAAAATGAAAACCAGCCAGGTGCTGGTGGCTCACGTCTATAATCCTAGCTACTTGGGAGGCAGAGATCAGAAGGATCCAGATTCAAGGCCAGCCTGAGCAAACAGTTTGTGAGATCCCCATCTCCAAAATATCAAGAACAAAATGGACTGACAGTGTGGCTCAAGCATTAGAACACCTGCTTTGCAAGCACAAAATCCTGAGTTCAAACCCTACTCCCACTCAAAAAAAAAAGAAAGTCAACATTATCCATGATTCACCATGCTGGATTGCTGCAGTTTTGGATTCGAACTGAGGATGTAATGGTGCTCTTTCTGGACCCTCATAGTTTACATAACAAGACTATAAACCCTTCAGATCCTTTGGCTTGATAATTTCACTTCTTTCTATTCCACAGGAATAATTTAAAATGAAAAGAAGGGCAATAAAAATTTATATTTCATTATTTGTGTAGCATTTACAGTCACACTACAAATTATTCAAGTGCCAACTTAAGCAAAATTTGACATATTTATCTACCAGAACTCTATTTAACAGATCAAGAAAGTTTTGTTGAAGGTTACTTAATGAACCAAGATATGTAACAGTTACAAGATACATAATAGTTTGACACTGAATAAATGCCATGAGTGTTTAATATTACTATTACATACTATTTAAGGCTATGTAAGAATATATCTGTGTATACCAAGATGGCCCTAGAGTACGTTAATAGATCTATTTACATTTGAACTTTAGGGGTTGTCCATTATTGCTTAAGGGCTTCATTAAAATATTGACATGAATAAGAAAAGTGTTTTATTTTAACCAGGTGATGCTGGCTAAAATCAGTAGGGGGCACTAGAGTACAGACTAAATATAATTGCACATAAGAGGGGGATACAAAGAGTAAATAAAAAAAGGAAAAAAAAATTTTTTTCCAGTCAGGAAAGTCCTAAAATGGATGAGAGGGAAAAATCAAACATTTCTAATTTTCTAAATTTCTAAGGGAGGGTAAGAATGTCAAGTTTGGCCAGGCACCAATGGCTTACACCTATAATCCTAGCTACTCAGGAGGCAGAGTTCAGGAGGATCACGGTTCAAAGCCAGCCTGGGCAAATAGTTTGGTGAGACCCTATCTGGAAAAACCCATCACAACAAAGGGCTGGTGGAGTGGAGTGGCTTGAGGTGTAGGCCCTGAGTTTAAGCCTCAGTATCACAAAAAAAAAAAACAAACAAGAATGCCAAGTTTGAAATTCTACCTTGATTATTTGCTAGTTCTGGGAGCTTGGGTGACTTATAACTTCTCATCACCTGAGTTTCCCTGGCTCTAAAACAGAGAAACTTACTTAACTCTTAGATCAAAATAAGATGGTTCACGTAAAAAGGTGTAAACAGTAAGCGCTCAATAACTGTTGGGTTTATTAAGAGCATTTCTTAGGCCTGGGCTACTTGGGAGAACTTACACCATGCATAAGCGTCCTTTCTCTTATGGGAGAGGCTTAGTCACCAGAGCACAAACGAGAGGAGAGTTTCAGTACCTTGTGAACAAGTGTTCTGCTTTACTCTGACCCCCAGAGCTTTGGTCCACCAGCAGGCCTTTCCCATCTGGCCTCGAAATGTCAAAGTTAGAACCACCTAAAAAGAAGAAGGAATTAAAACACACTAAATATGCTTTAATATACAGCCCAGAGCTTCTCAGATGGTAGCCACAGGCTGCTTGGAAGCACTGGCAAGGCTCATGCTGTTGTCTGGGTGAAGTTCCACAGCACACATACAGAGGAGAAAAGAGTTTCTCACCTGGATGTCTTTGTTGCTGAAAACAACTATTCTAGCTAGTCTAGCTCCTTTTCCTGGGGGACAGAGTCTGTTACAGAAAGAATGACACTATGAATTCTGCAAACCGAAGGTTTATCACCTACTTTATCATTTACTGACATTTGACTTTATTTTTTCTTTTCATATTTACTGACGTTTGACTTTAGACAAGCCCTCTAACCTGTCTTAATCCCAGTAATTTGACTTGTCTTCCATACAGTTTTATTGCAGAGACCAAATAAGTTGACATTTAAGTAAGCACTTTAATAGCCACACAACATATCATAAAATATAAGATAGTGATCGTATTACTATCTTCTGCTAGTGAAACTTCTGCTTCAAAGAGAAGGCAAAGGTCACAGATCTAAAATTGGAAAGCATCTAAGTGCTCTGGGAATGAGAAGCGCTTGTCATTGTCAACAAATTGCCTTGAAAAACAAAAAGCCCAAGGATTCTCAACAAAGAAATATTTTAAGAGACTGGTTAAACCAAGATAAACCTAAAAAGGAAAATTCATCTGCCAAGAGCCTCTCTGCTCCTTAAAAGCCAAATTTCTTGCCGTCAACCAAGAACAACATGAAAAAGCCATGGAGAGATGTGACATCAGTACACAAGTCATGGGAAGAAACACAGGAGGCATGAAACACCGCTGAGGAATTTTTTGCTCTTAAGAACATTGCTAAACATGGGTCTCTCAAACATGCATCACATGAACCAGAAAGAACAAATTTTTGAAAAAAGAAAACATAATCACTTGAAACATGAAAATAGTTACACGTCAATGCTGCCAATCAATCACCAAATGCTCTGGGCTGAATATTTATGCCTCCCCATTAATATGCTGAAATCCTAGCCCCCAGGTGATGGTATTAAGAGGCAGATGCCTTTGGGAAGTATTAGTGTCACGAGGGTGGAGCCCTCATGAATGGGATTAGTGCCCTTTTGAAGGGCTGAGGAGACAGTTCTTCCTTTTGCCATGGGAGGATGTAACCATTGGCAAACCAGGAAATAGGCATTCACCAGATAATCTACTGATGCCTTGATTTTAGACTTCTCAGCCTCCAGAACTGTGAGAAACAAATTTGTTTATAAGTAATCAGTCTTTGGAATTTTGTTACAAACACCTAACAAACTAATACACAAAGGCCTTTCAACTTTGTTTCCAAGATTTCTCTTCAATCAATATATCTCAAATCACAATGTCACAGTACTAGACTGTTACCAATTTCTATCTTAAATGACCAGAGCAGCCCCAACTAGTCTCTCTGCCTCTTTTCTCACTCCACCCTCTCCAATTCAATCTCTATGCTGTGGATGTATTTTTTGAAAAAGTAAATATGAAAATATAATCGCATCACTTTAAACCTTTTAAAGAATCCCCACTGGATAAACCCAAATTTCTTCATATGGTTGCCAAGGTTCTTCCCAGTCTAGATCCTCCCACCCTACCCCCAAGCCACATTGCTCACTAGACATATGATAACTATCTCCTTGATGAAAAATTCAAAGTATATTAACATTACTACAGGTATGCAAAGGTCCCATCAGAAACTGATTTCCTTTTTCCTCATTGTCTTTAGACAGCTAACACCTATCCATCCTGTAAGCAGGGGTCAACCAACATTTTCTGTAAAGGGACAGAATGTAGTTGACCAGGATTTTCAGGCCCTACAGTCTCTGTCATAACCATTCAACTCTGCCATTGTAGTGCAGAAGCAGCCATGAGTCTAGCTGCATTCCAATGAAAATTTATGTGTGAACCCTGAGATTTAAATATCATAGTTTTCATATGCCACAAAATAATATTTTTGAGTCATTTGCAGTGTGGGCCAGCAGCCAGAGGGACAAGGAGTCCTGAGGAGTGCAATTGCAGACACCATGTTCCTCGCTCTCCTCCTCCAATTCCCCACAGGTAGGGGACCCGGAAGTGCTAGTCTTTGCCTGTGAAGCAGAATATGATCTGTAGCCTGGAGATGGAGGCAAAGAACCACTCACTACTCTCTGAACATGCCCTACAGAACAGTGGGGCGGGAGCAGCACCACGGTGGTGGTCTGCAGGGCTGAGGCTTTGAAGGCCATCAAGGCAGCCCCCACTTCCAAGTTTCCCCCATGTAGGTAGGTTGCAGACCAGTTCAATCCTAATCCATCACCCTTTGCTTATATAGATAACAGACTGTCTTATCGCTACCTGATCCTGGAATTGAAAAAAAAAACTGTAATTTCTATAATAATGGGAGGTTTTAGATCAGTCTTATTAAACAAACATGAAATATACATATATACAAACATAAATACATTATATACATCTATACTATATATAGATGTATATATGCACACACACATATATACACAAGGGGAGGAGAACACATGACAGCATGTGCCAGGTTCAATGGTGTATAAAGGCCCAACTACTCAGGGGGCTAAAGATTGCTTGAGTCTAGGAGTTAGGGGTCAGCCTGGACAACATAGTGAGATCCCTGTTTCTTAAAACAGGAAAAGTCATTCTCAGCTCTTGAGCTGTACAAAGGCAAGTGACAGATTGGATTTGGTCTATGGAACTGTAATTAGCCAACCCTTTGCTGTAGGACACATCTCAGAAGTCACTTCTTTCAAGAAGCCTTTTCTGCTCCCTTCTAGACTACACAGATGTCCTGACATTGGTGTTCCTTTAGCTTCCTGAAATTTCCCTCAACCAGGCTTCGAATGCTATGCATTTAACTGTTTTTTCTCCCCAGTTGGATTGTAACCTTATTGAGGAAGAGATAGGTCTGATTTATCCTATATCCGGCATACCACCTAGCACACTGCACACAGTGCAATCACTCAACAACTCAAGAGAAAATAGTAGATGAACCTGAATCCCTTAAATGCCATATAAATACATAATATCTAAGTTCAAGTCTGCAGGATTCTTTTGGAATTGTCCCATTGTCTTTATCATACAACAAAATCAAGAGAATGGTGGAGTGGCTCAAGGCCAGTCTGGCAAGCATGAGGCCCTGAGTTCAAACCCCAGTACTGAAAAAAAAAAGAAAAAGAAAGGAAAAGACAAGAGCGTGAACTGGAATAAGTTGTTCTACCTACCATCCTTCGTTAATTAATAATTATTTCTGGAAAACAAGTCTCCAACTACATTCTACTCTCTTGCTTTGCTCTAAGCTGTAAAGCTTAGAGAACTAAAGTATTTGAGTTGGTAAATGGTGTACTTGGACAATTATTAGAATGGCTGAAATACTAATTCAAACTCCAGTGCTGCCAAAAAAAAAAAAAAAGAAAGAAAAAGGAAAAAGACACGGGTCTGGCTATACTGCCCAAGCTGACCTTAAACTCCTTGTTTCAAGGTATCCTATCTTAGCCTGAGTATCTGGGACTGAGCTGTGCACCATGGCACCACCCATTCTGAATGTATACAAGTTTGTAAAACATAACTTTGGAATTAGTATGTGCAAGGCCCTGGGTTTGATCCCCAATACCACCAGACTTTCTTTTCTGCTGTTCCAGGAATATGTCAAGCTCATTGTCAACTCAGGGCCTTTGCTCTTGCTGGTCCCTCTGTCCAGAATGCTCTTCCTCCAGGTCCCACTCAGCTTACTTCTTTGTTTCATGCAGGCTGTTGCTTAAAAGCTCACTCTGATACTCCATTGGAGGTCCCACCACCTACATCACTTCATCCCCTTGTTCCAGACACTCCTAAAAACTTTCTCAGTTCACAGCACCCTACCATCTCAATAGTTTTGTCAAGACACGTATAGGTCAAAAGAAATAACTAATAGTTCTAAGTAGTTAGGGCCAGATAAATTAATACACACTTAAGTCCTAACAACTTAGTAGCCATTTGAAAAAATAATACATATAAATAGAAAATAAGTTTCATTTCATCTTAACTATACTTACTAACGTGTGCTTGCTGTATTGCACAGCTTTGCAGATCTTGAGATCAGGTTAGACACCACATACAATGTCCACATGGTTTATGCACAGTACAGGTTGAGCATTCCTAATCCAAAGTGCTCTAAAATCTGAAACTTTGAGGTTGACATGATGCACAAGTGAAAAATTCCACACCAAGAAAAAGCTACATGCAAAAATTTATTTAAAATGTTGGATAAAATTATCTTAGGCTATGTATATAAGATATACATGAATTTCACACTCAGACTTGGGTCTCATCCCCAGATATCTTATAATGTATATGCAAATATTCAAAATATTTTAAAACAAATAAACTATCTGTGTTTTGTTGTTGTTGTTGGGTTTGTTTACTTTGTGTTACTGTGGTTGCAAATCCAGTTTGAAACACTCTGGTCTCAAGCATTTTAGATAAGGGATACTCAACCTGTACTTGTCTTTCATCATAACCATCAGAAATCATCAAAAGGACTGAAGTACTGTCTACTGTTGAAACTATGAATTACACTAAGCTAGAAGTGTGGCTGGTTTTCAACAAATCTGTATATTTACTCTACAAATTTTAAATCTCCCACAGTATCTCTGAGTATCACTGCAGAGGTCAAGTGTCACTGAGGATGCCTCAGAACACAATCTGGGAACCACAGCACAGCTTTTAAATTTTTCCTGCTAGTACTAGTACCATTAGATATTAAAATCTTATATTTTTCACCACTTGATCATCTCAATAGATGCAGAAAAAGCCTTTGATAAGATCCAACATCATTTCATGATAAAAGCTCTAAGAAAACTAGGAATAGAAGGAAAGTTCCTCAACATTATAAAAGCTATATATGACAAACCTACAGCCAGCATTATACTTAACGGAGAAAAATTAAAACCATTCCCTCTAAAATCAGGAACCAGACAAG